CACGCTAAGTGACCACATTTTCTGAACTTCGACCCAGGACGGTAGGAAATATAAGGTGCGAGATTATTCGAATGACATCATTGCTTAATAATTTATTGTCTATATCAACGACTAATATTGCGAGAGATTTTCTTTTTGGCAATGCAAATTCACGGTGTTCTTTTTTTAATGAAAATTTAATACAAACAAATAAAATTTGCTTATTTCTTTGGCTTTTAAAGTAATATATAAATTCATAAAGGTAAAAAAAAATTAATAAAAAATATTTTTTAAAATTTGGACGAGTTTGCGGTACACGATTTTACTTATACAGTATTACGAAAATAATTTTATAGCTTTATATTTATTACACATTAATTTTCACTGTACGATATATGAAAACACGTCAAAAGTGTTTGTACTTATTAGTACAATAAGACCTAATTCTAGGCCAACCAATATACAGCAATAACCGTATTGATCTGAAATCAGGGCAGTTAGCGTTTAGTGTAAGATTTAGGTAATAGCGCTATGCTTAGCTGCATCTCTACATAAGTAACATTGTGGTAATTTACAAGGATGGAATATTCTATATATAATAAACGTTAAAAGAGAATTCTTCGAAGCAATTTTTTTAAATTAAATGTTTTTAATTTTTTAATATGAACTATTTACTTATAAATAAAAAACGGGATAATCTGGAACATTTTTCCAAGCCCGGACGGTCAAAAAGTGGGATTGTCCCGGTTAACCCGGGATGTCTAGTCACTACCTCACGCTCTGTTTCAACATACTCTATGTTCGGGGAAATTGAAACAAATGGCATTCTCAAAAAAGTATTTTTTTCTGAAAAGACTTTAATAGTGACGTCCAACTAATTGCCACATCTGATGACACGACATTTAACACGCTAACATTCAATAAAAACATCCAAACCGCGTACTTTTCCAACTTGCCAAGGTTTTTCCTGCAATATCTATCGATCACAAAACTTTAATTTCGCAGTGCTTGAAGTACCTAAAACACAAAACAAACGAGTTTCTGCATTATCCGAAATTTCGTTTATCCCAAAGACCTTTAGTCCCATCAAGTTCGGATAATCCAGTTTTCACTGTGTAACATACATACAAGAGTGGCCCTAATATTGTTACAGCCCGGTATCCCGATATCAAAGATTAAAAATAATTTCTTCGTCAGTAACAAGTTAGGAAAGACTTTATTAAATCAACTAAAGAAATGACTTGACTCACGTAGGAGTGAAAGTCAAATTGTGAAATTTTAAATGAAACCTATCAAAATGTTAACACGTTTGGATTCTATGCTAAAAAACAAACTATTTTTCCTAAATCACGTTATCTAAAGTGTCACGTAGAGTCGATGCAATAGGCTCTTTGTATTCTCTTTCGTATCTTGTTTGATTATTAGAACCGCAAATAATTCTTGTTTCTTGCGTAACGAGACTAAATAAAATCTGCTTATTTATTTGAATAAAGAAAAATTCTTAATCTTTTCGGAATTGTGAAACTTCAAATATGAATTCGAAATTCATAATTGAAGTTTCGGAGTTAACACCCATCCCAGCCTCACCGGGGATCACGTGGGAATTCTTTAGCTGATTTAATAGCGACTTTCCTAACTCGAACACTAACCAAAATATTTTAATCATTGATTAAATAACGGGATATTGAACTGTAACACTTGTTTTGTATTACTGCATATAACAATATACACAAAACAAGCCCCACAGCTTAGCCCGTATACACTGCATATAGCCAGTGGCCCAAATAAAGAAAACGAGATATTATAGAGAATGTAAATATATACATACATACATTATGTATTAGTAATAAAACAGTTTGAACTTAAATTGATTCTTTTATTAAACAAACTAGAAAAGTTATTAGAATTCTGTAACTAAAATATCAGGCTGAATGCTATTTTCTTTTTAGTAAATAGCAAACTGAAAGTCAATCTTTAATATGTAAAATATAAAAAAAAATATATCCGATTGCGCTGCACCAAACTAAAAAAAATATCAATCATTTTCCTGCTTCTAAGAAAAAGACTATGGATGACACAATATGATGTAAACATTTTCTACTAATCAATGTCGTGGCACTCACCTTAAAAATCAAGGAAACTGATATAATATCCAGTTTCTACAAACAGGAAAAGACATTTTCTCAGAATTGAACTCAAAATGGAATATGAACAAAAACAGATAATTTTTTTGTTTTGTATTATTTCACTATCATGACAGAAAAGTGTACTTGAAGATAACTGATGAGATGATAAAGCAATTGCATCACTAACTTATGAAGTAAGAATAATTTATGATTAGAATGTATAATTCAAAGGGTTTACCAATATTTACAATTTATGGTGAGAAAAATTCCAGATTAGAATTTCAATGACTTCCGCAACACTATTAAACTCAAAGGGGAAAAAACAATTTTTAATAGTTTCTAAACAAATGAAACTAATAACATTAAAAATAAAGGATAGTACTAAAAATCTCATTCACAAGTACTGTATTTAAATTATAAACTGATGAGTTTATAAGAAAAGATAATGTAAATTGAAATGTCATTTTATAATAAATAGTTGGTGAGAAAATAAATGTTGGAATATTTGAAAGATTTCATCATAAAGCTTTAGTTTTCTCAAGAATATTTTGAAAAACAAAATAACATTTTTTTATATTATGTTTTTCAAAAATAAAAAATTAACAAGCAATTATTTATTTTGACAATACAACAATGCCAAGTTGCAATTTTTAATCATATTTTTAATTTAATTAAAAATATATGCTCTCCACTTCAAATTAGTACTGTAGTGTATTGCTCCTATACATCATACTTTTCCTTTAGCAATAGAGCCCTGCCGATCGTCTATCCGACTCATTTTAGGGAAAATTTTTTAATTGAAATAACGTGACTTCCAGTTTGCATTGGAAGTTTGTATATAGTTAATCAGATCCTCCCATCCATAAGGTTTCCACGTCCGGTCTCAAATTTCATCTATCTAACTCCTATTCTCGAGATTAGAGAGAGGAACGAACAGACGACTGTACAACAATGGAAATTTATAGGTCTACAATTTTTTCAAACTGCAGTCCAAAAAGTGATAATATCTTTTGATTTAGGAATAACTTGTAATATAGAATTCAATTAATTCATTTAGAGAATGTATTGTTTGCAGAAAACAGTAAATAATAATATTTGAAGATTAAAATACACTAATATTTAAATTAAACAGAAAATATTAATAATAAGAAAATTTAGTTATAATTATCTCTTTGTTAATCTGTTATTAAATATAATTAGCTAAATTGTTGTTAGGCTGTAATTATCAAATGATTCATTAATAAAAGTAATGAAAATGCAAAATTTATATTTAAAAATAAATCATTCTAAATAAACTTTTTTAAAAAAAGATTAATAATTTTAAATGTCAATTTATTTCTTATATTACTTCTGTATTAGAAATTTATTTATGCAATTGAATAGATAATATTAACAGGTATTAATTCTAATAAATTTTTATTAAAAAATGAATCATAACATTACGCTATTAAAAACTTACATATATACTTTTTTAACTAAGTAAACATTCAAATATCGACAAAATAATCAAAAAAACGTATAAATGAAATTTTGACGGAAAGTAGAAATTCCGAGCAAACGCTCTCTTGTATACCATCTTTTGTTAAAAGAAACAATTTTGTACAATTAAAATGTCTATAAATCAAATGGTAATTACTTGGTTTTAAAATTATTTGAATATTCTAATTTTAGAATTAAAAACTTAAATTTTGGACATTAACCCTTATTTTTATTTTTAAATTTCCCTTTGTAAAGACAAAATAGATATCTGTGAATGTTCATCATATATACACGAAGGACCCTGAAAACATTAATAATAGTAATAATAATTTATTTTAAACTTCATAAATTCTTCTAACATATAAATTAAGCATTCAAATTAAAAAATTTATTTTATGAATTCATGAAAATAGTATAAAAATTTGGAAACATTTCCATACACGTATTTCTATTATAACTAAGAAGCTGTTTAACATATTTGTTTTTACATAAACAAAACAGTTTTAAACAATATATTTGGGCTTATCAAACAGCAGCAACCAAATATTTAAAACATTTTATAAACAATATATTATATATCAAAAAATATTTTTTGATATATAATATAGAAATTTCAATCTAAAAAGTTTGTATTTAAAAATAATTATTATTATAACTCAACAACAATGGAGTAATAGAAATAATAATTCACTTTACATATTCTATTGTTGTTATATAACTTAAAATTTCAGTAAGGTTCCAATTTTCCTAATAAATCATCATATACTTTATTAAATTCGAAAGAATTTCATTTTAAAAATATGATCCAATAAAATTCTATATATATATCAACAGCTAATATAATATATTCTTATTAATATATTGCATATACAGTTTGGACTTATATTTTGTTAAGAAGTTTTGAATTTAATCCAACTGAATCTTTACCTTTTTTAAATAGTGAATATTTGTAATGAAAATACTCTGTTATACAATTCAGAGAGAATTAAATTGTTCTGCTATGCAGTTATAAATAAATTGTCAAAAAAGTTACAAGGAAAATTAAAATTTTCAAAATAAGAATTTTAATATATTTCCTTTCAATAATTACATACAATAATTCAATAATAATGTCAATAATAAGATTATTTATACTTCTCTGTTATAATCGAATATTACATATTTTTTTTATTTTTAAATATTACTCAATGAATATGACAAAGCATAAAATTTTACAAATTTTTCTTGAATAATTTCTAATAAATCTCTCAAGTAAACAAAATAAAATTCAATAATATATAAAAATTTATTTTTCAATTTATTGCTTTGAAATTAAATTTATTAACATTATAATTATATTTTGCAGTTTATTATAAAACATGACAAATAATTTTTCCAATATTCGAATGATATAAAAATATTTTTATATCTTCTAAATTTCCTCGTCATATTAACCTTCATTTATTTAAACAAAAAACTCATGTCACTTCCTGCTGAGTATTCAACCGGATCTTTACCACTTTAATAAAAATATGCAATTAATTAGTATTGGAAAATTACATATTAAAAATAACATTAATTTAAAATTCAGCAAATTGAACTTCAAATTTAAGTAAAATTAATAAATTTTCTTTCACATATGATTAAAATATGATTGTGGCTATCCAACAAACTATCCACAAGTTTTCAGAACCTGTTTTTGAATTCTGCCACATGGCAGTGTGTCTTAACAGCCATTAAGATACTGCTAGTAGTTAGTGCAGGTCTGCAATTTTTAGTTTTTCATTGGTGACTTGCCTTATAAAACCATTTCAGGTAGATAATGTGCTGTGATTTGGCTGCCATAATAGCCAGAGAGTTCTTTATACATGGTTTGAAGCTGTATGTGATGTACAGTATATGAAAACACGATGCATTGAGATTGTCCATATATTCAACCATCCCATTTACATTCATTTTCACGTGATGAAAATTTAAGAGAATGGGTAACCGGTCGTGCATATACAGCCATCTGGTTAAATAACTTTGCCATCATAACATACAAATCCATATAGACCGATTACTTGAAGATAGAGTTTGTGATGGCTCTACATTTGTCTTAAGGACACAAGTGTAACAATTTATTAATTAATTAAAATTTCACCTACTTTACCACTTGAAAAATAATTATAAGAATCAAGATTCCTATAATTAAGCATTTCTTGGTAATCAAAAGTAAAGCATTTTCATAGCTCTACTTTTAATAAGATATTCAAATATAGCTGGATATTCCAAAGGTGGCATTCTCTCGTGTCATTAACCCACGATTTTATAGTACTAATTGATGAAAACAAATTAGAAAATACATGTTTATAGAAGAAACTGTGCAAAAATACAAAAATTTTGCATTAAATGTAATGCAATGATATTGTCAATATTTTGAACTATTTTATGAATTAAATAACAATATAAATATTTCCTGATAGATAATAACAGTGGAATATTAGTAAAATTACGGAAGCCAATTCTGTCAATTATTTTCTAGAAATAAAAAAATAGGATTCAGGTTTTCTTAATTTTACGTTAAATTTTTATCAGTTTTAAAACATATTTCCCCACAATGCATGTAATATGCTTTTTCTTTATGTTAAAAAAATTTTAAACTTGTATAAAAACAATTAAAATATAAAAACTCTTTCCAAGAGTATTTTCAAATTGTAATTACTAACAAAATGGGCATTATGGACAAATTTCTATTAGTAATTTCAAAATCAATTATATTTTCAATTCTATAGTTTGGCAGTATCTTAATGGCAGCGTGACAATGGCACTACAGTATGTGAAAATGCATAGACCTTCTCTGAAAACTTGTGGACACAGTACTTGAGAATATAATCATTAAAAATCAGATAATTCAATATCTAATTAGAACATATCAAATAACTGAATAAATCTATATTAACCAAACAGCAAACACATTGCATATCTTATCAAAAGGAGCTGCATACATTTATATTATCTTTAATAAAATTTCAAATTAAAACTATTATTACTACTCATAAAATATTATCATCAAAAATTACTATATTTTCACAAGAGGACAAGAAAAAGAAATCATTGAAGTAAAAATCTAAAAACTATTTTAGTGAATTTCAATTATCTTTAGTCGACATTATCGTCATTGTTGCTTACATCATCTAATGATATATCAATTTTTATATAATAATAAAATGAAAATAATTCAGAAAATATTTACATTTGTTAATGCTATAAATTTAACAGTTTATTTTTTGATATCTAATAATGGTAATTTGAATAAATGTAAAAAGAATTTTTATTCTAAAATTGATTTACATTTCAAGTTTTATAGATAAGAAATAAATTTAAACATTTGACAAGTACATAAAGCTTCTAAATTATCAATTATATTTCAGATTTAATTAACAAACAAATAAAAACTTATGTACAACAATCCAAATACCCATCTATTATATTTAAAAAACATTAAAATATATCAGATATTTTCTGGCTGATTTGCTGAATTTGCACAACCAACAAATCAGCCTAAAAACTAGAACTTAAAGACTTGGAGTCAAAATAGGAAGCAATTTTGGATGGAATCAATTATTTGAATGTATCAAATCCGACCTTTCAATGTTAAAAATTAATAAACCTTTAATTACGTAATCAAGATTTCTCACTACATTTTTTAGTTCTTACCAGTGCCTGTGTTGAGTTTGCACCATTTTTTTCTTTTTTAAATTAAAATAGAATATGTTGACTAGAGTAAATGTTACCATGAGAGATTTCTATTTGCTACATTCTGATAGAAAGTTTTTTTTATCGTGTAAAATGAAGAAAGTTGATTTTTTTTCATAAATGCAGACAGAATTAGAAATATTGATACTTTCTAATTCTGTCTGCATTTATGCTGTATTTTAGACATTTGTATTCTTGGCATAAATCCATTTCAATCATAAAACAGGAGGAAAATTGTTATGGTTTCCTAATGCATTGATATATTATAAAAATAATTATTGAAAATGTCGAATAATTTACTGTTAATTATGACTAAATCAGATGTACAACTTGACAGTATTGAATTCAACCTCTCTCTTCAAGCTCACATTCAAGCAAGTAAACCATCCATGGTATCTAAAATTTTATATTTTCAGCAAAACAAAGAAGTTTCACTTAAAACTCCTGTTTTTGTTTTTCAGTTGAGAATACATACAGTACATAAATGTATATTTTTCTTTTCTGCATTCTTTTCCTTTCAAATAATTTCAATGAATATAACAAATATTATGTGTAGAGTGAAACTTGATAAAAAAAAATGTATTCACGTTTTGAAACAGACCATTTTCCAGTTTCAGCCTATCTATCTAAGACAAAAAAACCTTCTTAAACCAAAATATTCATAAAAGTCCTGTGCAATTTCAGCTTTCACATATTTTCCAGTATTATTTATTCTAAAGTTATAAATGTTTGTTAGAAAAACTTTTTGGCTTAAAACTTATTAATAATTTCTTTACTAAATATTAATAATTCACAATTCACTACAACCCACAAAAATTCCAAGTTTATACACTAAAATTTTATTCTAAATGCTACAAAATTAAAATATTTTAATATATTTGTTCTAAAAAATGCATATATTAAACGATTTTATCTATATTTAGATTTTGTAGTATAAATTTATCTAAATAAAGAAATATATAGATATATAAAAATAAGCAATTACCATTAAACCAACAATTAATTGTCGTTTAAACAAATGTTTTCTTCTGTTTCAAACGGTCATCGTCAGGTTTCAATAGAATGTTTGTAAAAGATTGTAAATTCCAAAATTTAAAAAGTTGCACACTGTGAAGATAGATGCATGCTCAATGACACATTTAAAAAATTAGTCCAGCTGGATTCCAGTTTTAAAATATTAAGTTTATAAAAATATATAAAAACAAACTTGACGAGGATCTATTGTATGTCAAAGCACGCCCTCTAAACAGCTGCTAATGAGTCTATGTCCTTAAAATTAATTGCTGTTCCCCTCTTATATGCTTTAAATATCTCTAGTTGTTTGAGATATTTGAGGCTGGCTGGGTCCTCGCACCGTTGCAGTAATTGGGCATTGTCAAAGTCAACCCAGACATCATTATCAACAGTGAAAAAAGCCAATGCAGTAGTGGAAAGACTCTTCTGAATGGCGTATTTATGCTCCTTGATCCTCATAAACAGAAGAAAACATTTGTTTAAACAACAATTAATTGCTGGTTTAATAGTGATTGCTAATTTTTATTTAATTACATACCAGTAGTATTATGGTGATTGTATATATAGATATATATATATTAACTTTAAATTATATATGTATATATATAATTTAAAAATAATTATATGATAATATTTCTGTGTTATTAACCAAATATGGAGGTTATTCTGAAAGTTTTGCAATATAAGAAAACCATCTGTGAGGAATTAAAGTGTTTATTGTTTTTAAATAATAAACTTCATATGGCACATTATGCTTAAAGAAATTTCATCAATCTCCCTTAATCTAAATGAGACAGACTGAAGGCTGTTGATTTCCTTCAAATTAACAATATAAGAATTATTCAACATCCACCATATTCACTAGATTTAACATTGTGTGACTTCAGGCTATTTTTTAATTCCAAAAAACTTTTGAGGATTTGCAAATTTAACACTAAAGATGAAATTGAAGCTTCTTTAATAGAGTATTTTGATAGCATTCCAGAAAATAAGTGGTGTCGTGCTTTTGATCTTTGGAAGGACCAACTACATAAATGCATTTTGGCCAGAGGAGAGTACTTTGAACGTAAATAAAAAATATATTGTTTCAGGCCTTATAGTATTCCTGTGTTGCAAAACTTTCAGTGTCACCCTTGTAGTAATACATTAATGATTATAAATAATTTTCAATTAATAAATTTCATGTGTTCAAAAATATTTTAATATATATTTTTTCCAGCATTTCAATAATCTCTGATAACAAATTTATTGTTATGTAACAACATAACTAAGCATTTTTTTAAATTTTGTAACAAACAGAAATTCTAAAACACTATAAATTTCTTAAGTGCTTAACAATTAATATTATTTTTTCATTAGTATTATTAATTTTATGAAGAAAACAAATTGTTAGGATCTTAGGGTGAAAAGATCTCTAATTGCAAAATTCCCATTTAATCTCATTCAAAGAACTACAAGTTGGTTGGTTATAACAGTCCGGAGTGGACTCTGGTCATATCCTATTCATTCAGCTGACCCAAACAAAAGATATCCCCGAATCTTGTGCCCACACATAGGTGTAACTTGATCAAATCCCTGGTTATTAGGTTTTCACATGTGCAAAAACAACCAATCCAACACAAATGCACAGGTTAAAATTTTAGATCCTTACCAGTAAATAAATTGGTTTTGGAAAATGCCTATCAATAACATTTATTTGAAAATATATATTTACATTCTTGATAAATAAACTGGACTTTAAAAATATTTAAGGAATCACTCTGCAGTATTGAAAATTTCAATAAATATTCTGTAAGTATTCAAGTAATGTGAAATATTCACCTGACAAATAACCTTGCTCCTGATAATCCATTAATTTCAGTCCTTTCCTCACATACAAGCAAATAACAACCTTCTCTTAAACCCTGAAATTTTATTAAAAATATAAATTGCAAAAACAATTGAGAGAGATTATTTTTAGGTTTTAATTCTAATTTTTGATAAAATTAAAAGTTTATCAAGTGATAAAAAAACAAATGTTCTAAATAAAATAAGGTATGTCAAGATTATGTTAACAGTTCCAAATTTTGCATCAAGGCAAATGCTATTTTCAATTGTTTCCTATGTTAGTTGATAACAACAGACAAGAAGTTGAGACCTTACAAAAATAAAATTCCACATTTTATAAATGTTTTTCTGTTTAACCGTTACCATAATTTTGCCATACTCTGTATTTATGAAATTTATAACATGTAATGAAGAAAACAATAAAAGTTTATAACTAATATTAATAAAAGAATGAAAGTTTATAATCTATATTAAATTCTTTTATATAAAAAAACAAATTCTATATGAAGTATAATTTCTGAATAGCAGAAACCTTCAGGACTGAGAAGTTTGTCTGCTATTCAGAGGTACATGCTGGCAGCTATACTGTATCTTAACCTGGTCATCATATAGTGAAGAATACAATGAATTATGAAAATATCAAATTTGCATTAGGAATGTGAATATACCAAAAATCATATGTAGCACATATAATTAAAATATATATACAATATATTATATATATTTTTCAGTTGTAAAAATCTTTGTTTTAATTGAATCTCATTCAAATGTCGAGTTACAAAGGCAATTTGCTATCCACTTCAAGGAGTGGGAAATATATTCGAAATTGTTATGTATATAATGTCATTTATGATCTAATCAACTAATAAATATTGATATAAGGATTTACCTGATTTGTAGTTATCAAATAGGTGTAACTTTTTGAACATTTTTGCTTCTTTCAGTAACCGATTTATTAAAAATTAAACTTTAGCCACCAGGAAAAGTGGATAGGAGGATATAGGTTCCAGACTAATGACGATCTTCAAAAACACATTAGGGCCAATCTCAAGTCATTGGTGGTAATATTCTATGGAAAAGCTCATCCACAGATATGACAAATGCCTCAATCTTCACAGTGATTATATCAAAAAATAACCATGTTTTTACCTAAATTTTGGTAATAAATTCATTTTGTTATTTACACTTGTCATTGTTCTATGGACCATCGAAGCTTAAAAAAAAAAAATACCCTCGTTCATGAACAGCAAAACATTTTGCTTTACAGTTTTTCAAATATGCTTTTATGAAATAGATTCACTTTTAAAATGAAACTTTACATTACATTTAATATTTGAACAAGAAATTTACTATTATAATATTTCTAAAACCTAAATTTCAAATTTTAGCATTGTACTGAACAACATTTCTGAATTTCCAACAGTCAATTACATGCTTGTTAAAAAGTATCCACATAAACACTCTAAAACAGGGGTGGCCAACAGTTTTTGCCCCCAAGCCAAATTGGAAAGAAAACTTTTTTCACGAACCAGAGGCTGCCCTAACAAGATTTTGAGGTGGTGCAAGATCTCATTATGGTGTCATAGAGACTAAATAGTACATAGAGATTACAGATACATTTTTCACATTATTATGTACTTGTTAACTTTTTTTTTAGCCGTCAGAATTTTTCATCAAAATATTTGGATATAGCTAATATTGACAGATGAATTGCGGGCCACATAAATTCATTAGACGGGCCGGATGTTGGCCATGCTTGTTCTAAGATTTATGAAGAAGTATTGCAAACATTGTAATGACTGTAGAAAGATCTAGAAATTTCCAAAGTGGATAGTTTGTTGTTTGCTGTCATTTTGGATGAATTGACAAAGATGCAGATGGAAATGCCAGATGTTATGTAAATGGAAAGATATTGTTTGAACAAGTTTAGAGCGATTGTAGTAATTTAATAGATAAATTCAGGAGATAATAGTAAAGGAGATGAGTACTGGAGTTCACAGGCTTCAAAATCAGCACAAAGAAGACAATATGAAGAAAATGTGTAAAGAGTGGAAGAGGAGAAAGGCAAAAGAAAGAAATGAATAAAAATAGAGTAGATTAGACATTTTGGGATCAATTTTGAAATAACATGGGAGATTGGAAAAGATGTAATAAACCAAATCCAAGTAAAGTGGTACAACTGAAGAAAAGTAGTGCAATACTTTGTGATTGCTGAATATTATTGAAACTCAAGGAAAAATGCTATCAAGCTAGCAATGCTATATGGAACATAATGCTAAGCAGTAAAGAAACAACAAGAAAACAGAAACGTTGAAATTATTAAGAATAATGCATAGAGTAACAGATTCAAAATAGAATAAATACTTAAGTGGTAATTTGGATATGATTAAAATCAATATGATGATGTAAGAAAAACAGACTTACATAAACATGTTACTGTTTTTGATGTATTCAAAAACAAAAAGAATAGAGGCATGTAGGGTCACTGAATCAATAGAGCAAGAAGTCCATGGAGAATCAGAATCAAAAAGATTGACTCTGATTATCCATGATATCTGAGAAAACTTAAAACAATGACAACCAATAAACAAATGTTATGCACTTTACATGCTGATCTATTGTAAGGTATATGAAAAATATACCTTACATTTACATGAAAATTCATATGTAATCATATGAATTTTCATATGATTTTTCTTACATATCTTTCATATGTAAGTCTTTCTAATACATTATATAGTTATGCCATTGAATGTGCTTCAAAATATGCTAAACTTAAAACTATTTATCACATAGCATTCGATTACTCTTGTCAATCATTAAATTCTACATTAAGACAAAATAATGGAATAAGAAAAACAATAGACTAAATCAATCTTTTCCAATATTTTAAAACTGTTTTATCTCTATAATACAATCATTGTACATTATATATTTTAATATTATAGAAATAGCATTAAGTAACATTAAATATACATAAACATTTAAAACAAAAAAACAACTTACTAAAACAGGAGGTGTTTCTGGAATACCATGATATTCTTTAATGCGTTGTTCTCGAGTCTCCTATTAAACACAGTATTTTAATAATTCAAACAGAAAAGTATTTCAGAAATTTAAAATAATAAAATATTCTTACTCCCATGTGTTTGCTACTTGGATCAGCATCAATAAAATGTGGATTAATATTAAATGGAACCAAACATAAGGCATTAAAAGAAGGAGGATAAACTATAGGCANGATTCAGGTTTTCTTAATTTTACGTTAAATTTTTTATCAGTTTTAAAACATTTTTATTAACAGGTATTAATTCTAATAAATTTTTATTAAAAAATGAATCATAACATTACGCTATTAAAAACTTACATATATACTTTTTTAACTAAGTAAACATTCAAATATCGACAAAATAATCAAAAAAACGTATAAATGAAATTTTGACGGAAAGTAGAAATTCCGAGCAAACGCTCTCTTGTATACCATCTTTTGTTAAAAGAAACAATTTTGTACAATTAAAATGTCTATAAATCAAATGGTAATTACTTGGTTTTAAAATTATTTGAATATTCTAATTTTAGAATTAAAAACTTAAATTTTGGACATTAACCCTTATTTTTATTTTTAAATTTCCCTTTGTAAAGACAAAATAGATATCTGTGAATGTTCATCATATATACACGAAGGACCCTGAAAACATTAATAATAGTAATAATAATTTATTTTAAACTTCATAAATTCTTCTAACATATAAATTAAGCATTCAAATTAAAAAATTTATTTTATGAATTCATGAAAATAGTATAAAAATTTGGAAACATTTCCATACACGTATTTCTATTATAACTAAGAAGCTGTTTAACATATTTGTTTTTACATAAACAAAACAGTTTTAAACAATATATTTGGGCTTATCAAACAGCAGCAACCAAATATTTAAAACATTTTATAAACAATATATTATATTTCTTTTTAAATTCTATCAGTATACTACATTAATTACAATCCCAAAAAGTGACTTCCAAAATTTCTTTCACAAATGGAGACCACTGGAATAACTGCTCAGTTGGAAAGGTATTATGGCAGAGTTAAAACACGCTTTTTCTTTGGCAAAGATTGGATACTTTTTGATCAGACCTTATACATTTTGTAGAGAGGTAAGTTTTCACTTTATAAAGGCAGTGTGGAGTTTCAAGATGACTGGCCATTGCTGGAGTTAAGACCTAATCCAATTTATTGTCAAATTCTGGCCAGTAAATAACTCAGCATAGCAATACACTGGAATCAAATGTAAAAGTTAAACATTGTTCAAGTTTGAAGTTGCATCACTAGACCAGAAGGACATACCTATAGTTCGACATACAATGAAGCAGAGGATAGCAAATGTGACAAAGCTCACTGCAGCACTATGCTGCTGTGAACTATGAACAGATTAACACTGATGGAAATATTTGGTTTGGGTGAATAAAATTCACACCAAACCCACACATTTACAATTATAAAAACCTCAACTTGATAGAAAGGTATCTGAATATAGTCACGTGAGACTGTATGTATACACACATACATATATGTTAGGTAGACTACTGATACACACATATACCTTTTTGGAAATGATCACTCTAGTTCTAGTTTCTTCTTAATCTCTTTATTCTCAAAAATTGGGATGTATTACATATTAAATTCAGTTAATAATAAATCAAATTTCTATATCTACAAATGTGAATCTTCTAATATCAATATAAATATAAATTCATTATTAACAATACAAGAGCATAGCATTAATGCAAATTCCAAGAATGTGGATATATCAATCACTATTAATTACATATAATAGAGATGACATAATTAAATCACTATAATTTTAATTTAAACTGCTATGCAAAAAAGTTTTAATTTGAACCATATTAAAAAGAAATGAGTTTCTAGCTTACCTGAGATATCAAGCTTTCAGTTTTATCTGGATCACCACCCTGCGGCTTGACAATTTTTGCATTTGCCGAATACATCTGAAAAAATAAATAATACACTTCATATAAATATCACTTTTCATAATTTAGAAATTTTATTATTTCTTCACAATAAGTAAACAGAACCTCAGCTAAAAATTTCTAGTACTTGCACAACACAGAATACATACAAGTACAAATGAAAATAAATATTTGCTTTCAGTATACATTCTGAAATGCACAATTAGTTAAGATAGAAATCTACTTGAAGGATTTTTGCCATGCCTGTGAGTTCACTTCATTTACATGCTATCTGGTGGGAAAAAAGGAGAATAAATCAAAGATGGACAATGATGACACACCAATTCTTTGTAGGAAAAAAAATTGATTTTATCATCATTTTTTTAATCTCTTTTATCAAAAATTTCCAGAAGATTGCAGATTTCTTCTATCAGACAAAAAACTATCACAAGTAAACTGGAACTTATACAAAAAACACAACAATTAACACCTAAATGCTACTTCCAGCACTGAATGAACAGAAAATTTTAATGCTCGAATGTTTTCGACAGTTTTTTAGAGGCCCTCTTCAGGATGAAACACAGAAAAAACACAGTTCTATCATTTGAAAACTTCGAATACAGCGTGTTCCAAATTTTCTGTTCATTCAGTGCTGGAAGTAGCATTTAGGTGTTAATTGTGGTGTTTATAGATTTNATTAATACATAGCAAAGTATATTAAATTATTTAACTTTAAGACGCGTACAATATAAATTAGGCCTAAACAAAATATATTATAAAACGAGCAATTATTTATTTTGTCATCGTCGCAATTCCGGGCCGCAATTTTTAATCGTATTTGCTGTTTCTCGAGACGATACGAAACTATAAACGAAAACACAATAGAAGTGAGTGAAGTGAAGATGCCGGATGCTGTCGGAAGTGTTTTGAAATCGAATGAGTCTGTTCGCGTTCTGGCAAAGACTAGCGACGTACAGTACCACTCGTGACTATATACAGATACGTGCAGAAAGTTAAGAAGTATACGAGTAAGTAGACTGCATTTGGGGAGGGGGAATAGTGCGCGCATTATTTCTTCGTTCCCACTCGATGGCACGTTTGCTCTTCTTACGAGTGTAAAAACAGCACCGGCAACGAAGATACGCGTAGCTTATTGTAACTGGAAGTGGACTATGCGCTAAGGAAGAGCTTTACCAATTTTCAAGAAAGCGATATTGCTCGCTATATTGAGGAAGGCGGCAGCTTTTACTTTGGCCTCGCATCCGATGACGTCGGGCGGCTGGCTTATGATCCGCAAAAGCACGCAATACAGATCCAACATCATAAATATTCTTTGCGGTGCAAAGAACGGTCGGATAAAAAATGCACGGATAGCGATCCATTCTACGTATGCCACCATTGTAACTCGGATGACTCTGCGTAAAACTATCTTAAAATATCTCCCGGTATTTGTGTCCGTAGTGCAACTAAAGTATAATATTCAGAATGGAATTAATTATTTTCAACATAAGAATAAAGAAAAATGTCTCTACGATATGTATAGTACGTATATTTATTATTATGGTTTACATTAACCAGAATATATAGTTCTAATTCATCTCACGCTAAGTGACCACATTTTCTGAACTTCGACCCAGGACGGTAGGAAATATAAGGTGCGAGATTATTCGAATGACATCATTGCTTAATAATTTATTGTCTATATCAACGACTAATATTGCGAGAGATTTTCTTTTTGGCAATGCAAATTCACGGTGTTCTTTTTTTAATGAAAATTTAATACAAACAAATAAAATTTGCTTATTTCTTTGGCTTTTAAAGTAATATATAAATTCATAAAGGTAAAAAAAAATTAATAAAAAATATTTTTTAAAATTTGGACGAGTTTGCGGTACACGATTTTACTTATACAGTATTACGAAAATAATTTTATAGCTTTATATTTATTACACATTAATTTTCACTGTACGATATATGAAAACACGTCAAAAGTGTTTGTACTTATTAGTACAATAAGACCTAATTCTAGGCCAACCAATATACAGCAATAACCGTATTGATCTGAAATCAGGGCAGTTAGCGTTTAGTGTAAGATTTAGGTAATAGCGCTATGCTTAGCTGCATCTCTACATAAGTAACATTGTGGTAATTTACAAGGATGGAATATTCTATATATAATAAACGTTAAAAGAGAATTCTTCGAAGCAATTTTTTTAAATTAAATGTTTTTAATTTTTTAATATGAACTATTTACTTATAAATAAAAAACGGGATAATCTGGAACATTTTTCCAAGCCCGGACGGTCAAAAAGTGGGATTGTCCCGGTTAACCCGGGATGTCTAGTCACTACCTCACGCTCTGTTTCAACATACTCTATGTTCGGGGAAATTGAAACAAATGGCATTCTCAAAAAAGTATTTTTTTCTGAAAAGACTTTAATAGTGACGTCCAACTAATTGCCACATCTGATGACACGACATTTAACACGCTAACATTCAATAAAAACATCCAAACCGCGTACTTTTCCAACTTGCCAAGGTTTTTCCTGCAATATCTATCGATCACAAAACTTTAATTTCGCAGTGCTTGAAGTACCTAAAACACAAAACAAACGAGTTTCTGCATTATCCGAAATTTCGTTTATCCCAAAGACCTTTAGTCCCATCAAGTTCGGATAATCCAGTTTTCACTGTGTAACATACATACAAGAGTGGCCCTAATATTGTTACAGCCCGGTATCCCGATATCAAAGATTAAAAATAATTTCTTCGTCAGTAACAAGTTAGGAAAGACTTTATTAAATCAACTAAAGAAATGACTTGACTCACGTAGGAGTGAAAGTCAAATTGTGAAATTTTAAATGAAACCTATCAAAATGTTAACACGTTTGGATTCTATGCTAAAAAACAAACTATTTTTCCTAAATCACGTTATCTAAAGTGTCACGTAGAGTCGATGCAATAGGCTCTTTGTATTCTCTTTCGTATCTTGTTTGATTATTAGAACCGCAAATAATTCTTGTTTCTTGCGTAACGAGACTAAATAAAATCTGCTTATTTATTTGAATAAAGAAAAATTCTTAATCTTTTCGGAATTGTGAAACTTCAAATATGAATTCGAAATTCATAATTGAAGTTTCGGAGTTAACACCCATCCCAGCCTCACCGGGGATCACGTGGGAATTCTTTAGCTGATTTAATAGCGACTTTCCTAACTCGAACACTAACCAAAATATTTTAATCATTGATTAAATAACGGGATATTGAACTGTAACACTTGTTTTGTATTACTGCATATAACAATATACACAAAACAAGCCCCACAGCTTAGCCCGTATACACTGCATATAGCCAGTGGCCCAAATAAAGAAAACGAGATATTATAGAGAATGTAAATATATACATACATACATTATGTATTAGTAATAAAACAGTTTGAACTTAAATTGATTCTTTTATTAAACAAACTAGAAAAGTTATTAGAATTCTGTAACTAAAATATCAGGCTGAATGCTATTTTCTTTTTAGTAAATAGCAAACTGAAAGTCAATCTTTAATATGTAAAATATAAAAAAAAATATATCCGATTGCGCTGCACCAAACTAAAAAAAATATCAATCATTTTCCTGCTTCTAAGAAAAAGACTATGGATGACACAATATGATGTAAACATTTTCTACTAATCAATGTCGTGGCACTCACCTTAAAAATCAAGGAAACTGATATAATATCCAGTTTCTACAAACAGGAAAAGACATTTTCTCAGAATTGAACTCAAAATGGAATATGAACAAAAACAGATAATTTTTTTGTTTTGTATTATTTCACTATCATGACAGAAAAGTGTACTTGAAGATAACTGATGAGATGATAAAGCAATTGCATCACTAACTTATGAAGTAAGAATAATTTATGATTAGAATGTATAATTCAAAGGGTTTACCAATATTTACAATTTATGGTGAGAAAAATTCCAGATTAGAATTTCAATGACTTCCGCAACACTATTAAACTCAAAGGGGAAAAAACAATTTTTAATAGTTTCTAAACAAATGAAACTAATAACATTAAAAATAAAGGATAGTACTAAAAATCTCATTCACAAGTACTGTATTTAAATTATAAACTGATGAGTTTATAAGAAAAGATAATGTAAATTGAAATGTCATTTTATAATAAATAGTTGGTGAGAAAATAAATGTTGGAATATTTGAAAGATTTCATCATAAAGCTTTAGTTTTCTCAAGAATATTTTGAAAAACAAAATAACATTTTTTTATATTATGTTTTTCAAAAATAAAAAATTAACAAGCAATTATTTATTTTGACAATACAACAATGCCAAGTTGCAATTTTTAATCATATTTTTAATTTAATTAAAAATATATGCTCTCCACTTCAAATTAGTACTGTAGTGTATTGCTCCTATACATCATACTTTTCCTTTAGCAATAGAGCCCTGCCGATCGTCTATCCGACTCATTTTAGGGAAAATTTTTTAATTGAAATAACGTGACTTCCAGTTTGCATTGGAAGTTTGTATATAGTTAATCAGATCCTCCCATCCATAAGGTTTCCACGTCCGGTCTCAAATTTCATCTATCTAACTCCTATTCTCGAGATTAGAGAGAGGAACGAACAGACGACTGTACAACAATGGAAATTTATAGGTCTACAATTTTTTCAAACTGCAGTCCAAAAAGTGATAATATCTTTTGATTTAGGAATAACTTGTAATATAGAATTCAATTAATTCATTTAGAGAATGTATTGTTTGCAGAAAACAGTAAATAATAATATTTGAAGATTAAAATACACTAATATTTAAATTAAACAGAAAATATTAATAATAAGAAAATTTAGTTATAATTATCTCTTTGTTAATCTGTTATTAAATATAATTAGCTAAATTGTTGTTAGGCTGTAATTATCAAATGATTCATTAATAAAAGTAATGAAAATGCAAAATTTATATTTAAAAATAAATCATTCTAAATAAACTTTTTTAAAAAAAGATTAATAATTTTAAATGTCAATTTATTTCTTATATTACTTCTGTATTAGAAATTTATTTATGCAATTGAATAGATAATATTAACAGGTATTAATTCTAATAAATTTTTATTAAAAAATGAATCATAACATTACGCTATTAAAAACTTACATATATACTTTTTTAACTAAGTAAACATTCAAATATCGACAAAATAATCAAAAAAACGTATAAATGAAATTTTGACGGAAAGTAGAAATTCCGAGCAAACGCTCTCTTGTATACCATCTTTTGTTAAAAGAAACAATTTTGTACAATTAAAATGTCTATAAATCAAATGGTAATTACTTGGTTTTAAAATTATTTGAATATTCTAATTTTAGAATTAAAAACTTAAATTTTGGACATTAACCCTTATTTTTATTTTTAAATTTCCCTTTGTAAAGACAAAATAGATATCTGTGAATGTTCATCATATATACACGAAGGACCCTGAAAACATTAATAATAGTAATAATAATTTATTTTAAACTTCATAAATTCTTCTAACATATAAATTAAGCATTCAAATTAAAAAATTTATTTTATGAATTCATGAAAATAGTATAAAAATTTGGAAACATTTCCATACACGTATTTCTATTATAACTAAGAAGCTGTTTAACATATTTGTTTTTACATAAACAAAACAGTTTTAAACAATATATTTGGGCTTATCAAACAGCAGCAACCAAATATTTAAAACATTTTATAAACAATATATTATATATCAAAAAATATTTTTTGATATATAATATAGAAATTTCAATCTAAAAAGTTTGTATTTAAAAATAATTATTATTATAACTCAACAACAATGGAGTAATAGAAATAATAATTCACTTTACATATTCTATTGTTGTTATATAACTTAAAATTTCAGTAAGGTTCCAATTTTCCTAATAAATCATCATATACTTTATTAAATTCGAAAGAATTTCATTTTAAAAATATGATCCAATAAAATTCTATATATATATCAACAGCTAATATAATATATTCTTATTAATATATTGCATATACAGTTTGGACTTATATTTTGTTAAGAAGTTTTGAATTTAATCCAACTGAATCTTTACCTTTTTTAAATAGTGAATATTTGTAATGAAAATACTCTGTTATACAATTCAGAGAGAATTAAATTGTTCTGCTATGCAGTTATAAATAAATTGTCAAAAAAGTTACAAGGAAAATTAAAATTTTCAAAATAAGAATTTTAATATATTTCCTTTCAATAATTACATACAATAATTCAATAATAATGTCAATAATAAGATTATTTATACTTCTCTGTTATAATCGAATATTACATATTTTTTTTATTTTTAAATATTACTCAATGAATATGACAAAGCATAAAATTTTACAAATTTTTCTTGAATAATTTCTAATAAATCTCTCAAGTAAACAAAATAAAATTCAATAATATATAAAAATTTATTTTTCAATTTATTGCTTTGAAATTAAATTTATTAACATTATAATTATATTTTGCAGTTTATTATAAAACATGACAAATAATTTTTCCAATATTCGAATGATATAAAAATATTTTTATATCTTCTAAATTTCCTCGTCATATTAACCTTCATTTATTTAAACAAAAAACTCATGTCACTTCCTGCTGAGTATTCAACCGGATCTTTACCACTGACAAATAACCTTGCTCCTGATAATCCATTAATTTCAGTCCTTTCCTCACATACAAGCAAATAACAACCTTCTCTTAAACCTAAAACAGGAGGTGTTTCTGGAATACCATGATATTCTTTAATGCGTTGTTCTCGAGTCTCTCCCATGTGTTTGCTACTTGGATCAGCATCAATAAAGTGTGGATTAATATTAAATGGAACCAAACATAAGGCATTAAAAGAAGGAGGATAAACTATAGGCATGTCATTTGTTGTGCATATACTGCAAGTTGCTACATTAGTTCCAGCACTTGCACCCATATAAGGAATACCATCCTATAATTAAAAAACTTTTTATATTCCAAAATATCTGTAATATTAAATGAATATAAATATGCCATAAGAATTTACATATTAAAATAAGAAATAAATTATATTATGTTCATAAAACATTAAAACTATTCATTCAAATAAAAAGACAATAAAAATTAACTTTCACAAATCATTTTGATAAAGCAAAAAACTTTGCACAATAACTCAAAATGTTTGTTTTTTAGATGAAAATGCATTGAAGTATGAATTTGTCTTACAAAAGCAATTTAGAGATATGAAAGAGCAAACTGTTTGAAAATCAAGGATGATTCTTTAAATTATATTAAAACAATAATTTCAGCATAAACAAAAAAATTCTTCCTTTTTATGTTATAATAAAAAATGAATATATTTTTGTTAACTTACAATAAAAATACTTTTATGCTAATTGTCATTATCTTCATCAACAAAATAATACATTTCTTGGTTTCATAAAAAAAATGCCAATCTTTGTTTTAATAACATTAAATAATAAAAATTATTTAAAACATTAACACAAAAAAAAAAAGCTGAAAAGAATTTAAAAATAGATCAAATTCTATAACTAAATATTTTGTTTATAATAGATATGCACTGTTGGATTCATTTAATATCATTCTATTAGTTTAAATTTTAAAATAAAGAGGTTTATATTAAATGGAACAAATCAAAATGAAAGTGAGGTTCACTTTTTAAATATTAGAAATTTCTAGTTTAAAATAATTTCACAAAAGTTAACATTTGTTTTTGATTACCCTATTTATAAATAATTTACACAATTCCACTTTTCAAAGGCAAAAGGCTATGTCCAAAAATTGAAAATCAAGTTGAGCATTTGGTGTCATAACTAATTAGTATCCTTTATTGATATCACCCAATATCTTGTATAAAAACATTCTGCAATTTATTACAGAATGTTTGTTAATACTAACATATAAGGTACATTTGCCAAATAAGGCCCATTGTTCTTTTTATAAAGAAAATGCTGACATTTCCACAAGATTTTTAATGTTTCTGAAAGCAGCTAGATCAAAAACTATATCAGATGAAGAGGACTATTCCACCGTGTTAGATACAATTGAAGTGTGAACATCGGCAGAACTTGTTATTCTTACTATTTCATGGTAATTTGATAAACGTTCTTCATCTTTCAGTACATGAACATGTCATATTAGGGTATATGATGAGTAAAATAAGGCATAGATACTGATATTTTCTAGTTAATGTGCATTTATTTATTTGTTAGTAAAACACTGATAGAAAGTGCAGGTTAACAAGAGCTCTAAATAAGATTCATCAATTTTCTTGAAAGCATTTGGCTATTATAAGTCACGTAAACACATTCTGTAAAATACAGTAATGTATATAATAATAATAATCATCCTGAAGTTGCTGGAAGAAAGGCTCAGAGAATGAACCTGGGTAGGGCTGCAAAAACCAATAGATGTGTTGTCTGCAACTATTTTGATAAGCTGACAAAATAATGTATTGGCCCAGTTAGATATTTTCAAACAGCCCCATCTAATATACAATATAAGCAAAAAACAGCTGTAGACTTGCTCTCCATAAACAGCAAAATCTGTATGCCAGTAAAGGAGAAAAAAGAGTGAATCTTGCAGCACCTGAACACAGTGTCTCTATTGTCTCATGTGGAAAAGCCCTGAGTCATGTCATACCATCTATGATTATTTTAAATGGGAAAAGATTAAATCCCAAATGAAAGGATAATCTTCCACCTGGCAGAGAGGTTGACATGACTGAGAAAGGATCAATGACCACAGCAACTTTCATCAATTTGATCCGTGATAGATCTTGCAGCTAGACCTCGTGGCAAACAAACAATGAGAAAAGAGCTGGTTCTGTTATTTATGCAGATAAGATCTAATTGCTGACATGAAACCGTGTGTAGAGTGTTCAAGATATGTTCTTGAAGAGTGCATTGGGCTTATGGCTTCTTGTATTTTATTGGGTTTAAACACATTTATTGTAATTTAATTAGCTCTTACTTTTTACTTTAATTAATAAATTATTTCTTTACATATGAGCCTTATTTGAGACTATTAATGGTCTTATTTGGAACCTCCTGTTTCAAAGAAGGCCCATTACATAACTTTTGGAAAATGTATTATTATAGAAAAGTTTTCATATGATGCTAACTTTAATTTCACATTTCTGCAAGTACATATCTTACAGTATGTTGCAGTACAACTTTCAGACTTTTCCTCTATTATTGAAAATACAAAACATCTTAAAACATTAGGTGATATTTATTGGTGAATGTGCCTTACTAATTATTATAGAACATCAATACTAATATTGTAATAATAAATTACAGTATAAGAGTCTCCAGCCCCTAAGCTTCCCATATCTGGTCTTGATTTTAGTGGCGTATTGTCCCTGTAAATCACACTTCTCCTGATAACAATCAAGTCATGCCAGTTATCTATCTGACTCTGTTCTTGAGAAAATTTGAATTGAAATTACCTTACTTCTGTTCTGGACCAAAAGTCTGTACATGTGTCCCTTGATTAACACGGTTAATTAATTCCTCAATGTTACCACGTATATCAAAATCACATAAATCAAATACGTTATCTATGTTAACTAAAGATATATAAAGGCATTGCTGCAATTAATTTCATGCATTAATCAAATCCCATGTTAAGCAAGGAATACCTCCATATAGTTAATTGGGGCCTCTAGCCCTAAGCTTTCCATATCTGGTCTTTATTTTCATCTATCTTACTCCATTCTCTAGAATCTATCTCTCCATCCTTAATAAAGGACAGCCAGACAGATGGACAACAGTGGGAATGTATAGGTCTGCAATTTGAAAATTGCAGCCCAATTAACTAACCACTTACTAAATTGAACCAATATTACATAATTATTGAAAAAAACTTTACAATACCTTCAGAACTCTATTTTGAATTGCCTCAATCAGACCATTTTCATATAAAGTTTTAAGTAACAGAAAAGTATTTCCACCACCTAAATCATAAAAATTTAACAGTAAAAATAACCATTACGTAAATGTGTGAAGATTTATATTGAAATTACATTAAATTTATTAATGTCATTATAAAGTTCTTATATTCTGATTAAACATTTATTTTTTAAAGTAAGAAATCTTTATATGCAGTTATTAATTTTATTTTCAGTTTAAAAAATTATGGATTCTTTTAATTTACCATTAGAAGGTTTAAATAAACAAATTTTTAGAGTAACTGTTTAAAATATTTTACCACTTTGTTTGTTCAAAGAATCTGATAAATAACTTCATTAGCTCCAGAAATATTAACTACTGTATGCAACTGTTTTTGTTTTGAAATTTAACTGAAAAATTTATTAAAATTTACTGCAAGAGCTGAACAAAATACTACTCTAAATAATTAAATAAAAAATTAAAATTTTCACGAAGATATTCAAAAACAAAGAATTAAGTTCTCTTATAAATATATTGTAAAATCTTCATAGAATTATGTCATTTTACTTTGAAATAGTTATAAAAATTAATAATGTAGAATATGTTCATAACTTCAGAAAACTTTAAAAAAAAACATTAAAACAAAATGAAAAACAAAATTTTGTTTATTCTGGGTTTTCATTTCTAAATATTTTGATATACATTCAAAAAAACAATCTAATGTAAAGCAAATTCTCTCTTATTAAATGTATTTTTAATTATAGCTTAAGAATGAAAACTTTTAAAAGTGCATTTGAAACAGTGACTAAAAATTTAAAATATTCTCTTACTTTATTTCATTGAGAGGAGACTAAACTTACATCCAAATGAAATTACAGCCCTCTATGACAGATGATTACTGATTTATGACAAGTTTTGTATATCGAAATGTCAGATATTTTTGTGTATTTTACCTCCATCAAAATTCTGTATAAAAAACTATGATTCCAGAAATTGTAAAAATTGGACTTTATAGAGAAAATTCTGTTGATAAATTTTAAAATATTTATAACATTGAAAATTTTTAATTTTCTAAGCCTTATGATTTGAAACATCAAATAAATGATATACTGTACAAATGGAATTTGAATTACATCATCATCAGATGGGTTAATCATCAAAATTTAATAACATAAATGTTCCTTATATACACGTTACCATGCCAAATTTCATTTCTTAATCTTTACCCCATCTTGAGATATTAAGTGAAATAAACCCTAACATACACACATGCAAATTTTTTTCCCTTTTACTTTCCCACTATTATGTATACATAACAAGGAAATGTATTGGAATCATGTCAAATTGTCAATTGTCAACCCTCAGAGTTTTTGCAATCTCCACATTTTGAAACCTTAATCCAAGAAAGTTATGGGAAAAAAAGCTCTCTCTCTCTCTCTCTGTGTGTGTGTGTGCGTGCGTGCGCGATATTTCATTAAATATCGCAGAATGGGGGTTATGATGATGAAACAAAACTTTGCATGGTAGCCTTGTGTATAAGGGGCATTGATGCTATTACATTTTGATGGTTAAAGGTCAAGAGGTGGGGAGATAAAAGGGTGTCATGTGTCATATCTTATGAAGTGTTAGATTTAATGAAAATGTTATTCATTATTAGAATTTACAATTTTTTATGAAACATATCACTAACTTCAAAATTAAGCTTTTTGTCATTTTATAATCTAATAATATAAGCCATTTATTGCACTGTTTGTAGGTTTGTCTTGGTATGACTAAAACACCCACTAGGGGCACCCTAGCAATGATTTTATATTAACAATAAATTATTTTCATTTGTAATAGCAATTTATTATTGATAAAATTTTATTATTTATATCACAGAATGACACCGCTGCTGCTAGAACACCCACTAGGGGCAGTCCAGGCTACTAGTAAGTAATAATATAAAAAGCTTTTTATAAAATCTAATAACAAATAATGCCACAATTTTATTTATAATTTGCTGTCAGTTTTTTTTTTTTTACTTTTTGGGTTCAATCTCAAATGTGGAAATTTGCATAAAAAACCCCAATAATCAAATTTGACACACTTTCAATACTTTCCATTATTATATATACATAACAGCAGGGATAGTAAAATCCAGCAGAGAATGAAAAGTTTATAAGAATGCATATAAGAACAAATGTTTTCTGTACTCTTAAGCCATCATTTTTAGGTTAACCTAAAAATGGTGGCTTAAGACCACAGAAAACATTTACTCTTATGTACTGTTCATTCTCTGCTGGATTTTTGCACATGTAGTGATTGTGTATAAAAAAATAATTGTTTTTCTTTAAGTATTTTAAAGATAAAAAGTTTTTGAAAATTAAATTTAAAAAATAATAATAATTTGTTACCAATAAATATTCCTTGGGCAATATTTACTGCTTCAACAGGATTTTCTTTTTCATGAATACTTTCCATTTCAAAGCCAAGTTCTTGAAATTTTGTTTTGACTTTTTTAGCATAACCGTCATGATCTTTACAGGCATATGGCACAAAAAGAATGCAATTAACATTATATCTGTAATAATAAAAATATATTTTACTTAAAAATCTACAATTTAAATATGCATTCAATCAAATTATTAATAATAAATTAATACAAAGTATTGTCATAATTATTTACTCTATGACTTAATCAGATTTTATGACTATTTATTAAGTATTAGTTTATGTAAAATTTATTTTTAATTTGCAGATTAAAAATTCTTATTCTGTTGATCTCAGTGCACACTGATAAATTATTTAAATAATGAAAAACCATGTTGTAACATTTATATTACAGTATGACTTTAAATGATTTAATTATATTTTTATCATATACTATTTTTACTACAATTACACTATTAAAATATTGTTATTACAGCACAATATATTCTAAACACAAGTAAACAATATATAAAATGATATAATTGAAAAATTAGAATATTTATCCTTATCAAAACAGCTCATAAAATATATAATACTTAAATAATAAAGATAAATTTTAGAAAAATAAATATCAGACAAGATTCGAAACAAACTTGATACTATGTTCCGTTATACAAAATCATATAGCCATTACAACATTTTAATATATAATAATGTTTTCTGCCAAAATAATATTCTGAAACTCTCCAATAATATCAATAATTTTATTAAGTAAGAAATCCATAAACTATTTAGTCTCAAACTTATAAACAATTCAAAGAAAAACATTTTTCATACGTATTCAGTTATCAGATTAAAGCTAAATAAGAAATGTTTAAAATAAAGAATTATATATTTATTTGAAAAGAATAAAGATTGCTTTTAGGTTTATTAAAAACAATATTAATGTACATGTCGCAAACAAGATGATGACCGGAAGAGTGGCCACGATGATGCACCTACGTAAACTTTAATCTAAATTTCTTTGTTTATTTGCAAGGATCTATCACTCTGGTATGTGGAGGAGAGATTACAGAAAAATTTCTCCCAAATAAAAAGATTGGTGGATCGGATCTGGTCGAACGATTGCATCGGGCAGACGGGTAAATGAGGTCGTGGACAGGGTCGAGGAATCCCAAAGTTTTATCGGGCCCAAGCCGTTGCTCCGGGGACCACTTACGATCACTCCACATATACGATACATATAAATAAGCCAGTGTTTCAATGCATTAATAAATAAAAATCGAGTATATCGGTTAAAGCAGGGGTGTCCAAGCCACGGCCCGCATGCGGCCCAATAAACGTGTAAACAAAACCGACAGATTTTTTTATTTTATTTTATTTATTTATTTATTTCAACGGCACAAATTCAAAAAATACATTTCACAAAGCAGTAAACCTTTATACATATTTTAATTTTGAGTGGAAAGGAAACATTTTCAAATACTTGGAAATGTATGAATGAGGAAGGTATATTAAATAAAGCTGAAGTTGTGACTCAAAGGAGTATAGACTCAAATTCGGGGAAAGGAGAGAAAGGCCAAAAGATAAAATGATAATGAGAAAGGTTAAATATACGAATAAAGCTCTTTCTTATTAAATGAGAAAGGTTAAATATACCTTTTGTTATGCAAATATTGACCCTTAATTTTTCAACTTTCCTCACTTTTTT